GGGGGGGGGGGGGGGGAGACCGTCCACGTATGTATGTATGTCTTACGTCTATTGTGTATTGTGTGTGTCAGGTGGTGCAGGACATGGAGCCCGTGAGCGTGCCAGTAAGATTACCGACCCCACGCAGCGCGTGACCCCATCCATCCCTCTCTCTCTCTCCGTGTGTGTGTGCGTATGTGTGTCTGTGTGTTTCTGTCAGGAGGAGAAGCTGGCCCGGGCAGAGCAGATGTTGATGGGTTACACCAACGCCACAGACCTCGCCAACGACCTGCAGGCCACGCACGTGCTCGCTGGCCCCTAAACACCCCACACACAAATAGATACACACAGACATGATGGTCGGTCTCGTAGACATATGTCACGCAGCGAGCCAGCGAGACACAACGGCTCCTGCCTTTTCTTCTTTCGACATAGCGACCCCTTCTCTCTCTCTCTCTCTCTCTCTTTCTTATACTCATAGCAGAAAGGCCGACTACAATTCATCTTTGCGTGGATTCGCGAGTGCCTGGATGGATGGATGGAGGGCATCATGGTGCTATGGGAGGCCGGAGGGAGGGATATTGCTGGGTGGTGGTGACACACACACAGGCAGACAGGCACAGGCACAGGCACATGTGCAGCGCACGGCGCGGCTCCGTGTGTCGGTGTTTTGCGTGTGTGTGAGTGTGTGAGAAGGAGTTAGTATCAGCCTAACTAATGTGCAGCGATGCCTGTCTGTCTGTCTGTCTGCCTGTCTGTCCGTTTGATCAATCGGATGCGCGAATGCATGGCATGCTACTCTCGTGCGCGTGGCCGGTTTTCTACCTAAGCAATCTCTTTCTCTGTCACTCTCTCACTTTGTCGCCCCACGCACCCGTGCAACCATCAGATGGAGGCAGTCGCCCATCCATCCATCCTTCCAGGTGGACACAGACCACCTGCCTATGGATCGACCCCTCCCTGCCCCCCTCTGTGTGCGTGGTGGGTGGGGTGTGAGTCGCTGCTGCCAGCGGATCGTAGCTAGCCATGTCCAAATCAGTCCATCTATGCTGTGGGTGTGTGCGTGTGTGCTTCCGCTACGCCCAGAGAGTGCGTGTGCAGTGCATGTGTGTGGACTTGTCGTACATTCAATGACACGTACGGGTGTGGTGTGTATGTCCGTGGGCTTCACGCAAAGCTTTATAGAAAGATAGCATGACGTGCATGGTTGCACTGCACCACAAATCACCAACCCAGCCAATGGAAGGAAGGAAAGAAAGACACACCTGAATGTTCTGGACTGGTCGCAAAAGGCACAAATACCCAACCACACACACACACACACACGCACAGACACACCCCACACACAGGAGGAAGGACAATCCTAAGCTAAGCGACTCAACACGCATCCACACCACTCCACACCATACAATGCATTATATGCCCCAAGAGCCTATCTATAATGCCTCCCATCCGATGGACAGCTGCCGCATCCCACTAGTAAGGCTCGCCACCAACGCATCCAGAGCAGCCGAGGGGGCGTCGCTCCGCCGGGCCCTCTCACGCCACTCATCAACCGTACGCTGCACCTCAAGTGCAAGGTCATCCTCTGTCGCCTCCACCTTCACCTTCCCGGCACCGGCCGCCTTCTCGCGCTTCACATCGGCAGCTGTAGCAGCAGCAGCAGGGGCGGCGACGGCCTTGATGGCCCTGAAAGGCTCCATTGCGGATACTGCTGCTGGTGGTGGTGGCGCTGGTGCCACCCGTCCTCTCGCTGCCCGTGGGGCTGCGCGGTCCGCCTTTTTCTTTTTCTCGCCGACGGCAGCAGAAGCTTGGAAGAACGACAGACGGCTGACAGCGGGCGCACCGCCAGGGGCAGATTCCTCTCCCTCTTCCTCTTCCTTGTCAGCAGCCACAGCAGCAAACGCTGCAGGCGACGTCGTGGGCTCGGCTGGATGCACAGCGACAGCACCGAACGGCTCAGCAGCAAGCGACATAGCCATGGGGGTCGGCTGCAGACCACCCATAGCCCACGGACGGGTGGGAGGGGGCGGGGGAGGGGCAAGGGGGTAGGGGATGTGGGCCTCTTCTGCCTGGAACAATGCCGCCTCGTCAGACACGTCAGCCAGAGCGCCGAACGCCGCAGCACTCTCCAACCCACCACCACCACCACCGCCGCCGCCGCCGACACCGAATGACAGAGGCCCGGTCCCATAATCTTCCTCCTCTGCGTAGGGGTTGGTGGGCGGTGTGGGGTTGACGCTGTTGAAGAACGAGTCGGTGTCAACAGCAGGGGGATAGCCGCTGCCGTCGTCAGCACCGACAGACACGCCGGGATAGTTAGCTAGTGCAGGTAGCGCTGTGTCGGTCATCTGGTGGGTCTCTTGGTACGCCTCCAATGCGGCCCTGACACAAACACAAACACAAACACAAACACAAACAACAGACAGACAGACAGACAGGCAGCCAGAGATGCCACAATGAGTGGATTTCGCGTTTGTTACCACCTGACAGCAGAGTCCACCCACCTGACAGCAAAGTCCAGCAGCGCTGCTTTGGCGGCGTCTGTGGGCGCGATGGCGCTCAGCTTGGTGCGGAGGTTGCGCTCAAATGCCGAGGGCGATATACCGCTGGGAGATGAGCTTGGGGGCGGGGGGCTGCGCTTCCTCGACACGTCGGTGTCGGCATTCGCGGCACTTGAGGCACTCTCAGACTCCGCACTGAACACATGCGCACACCACACACACATGCAGAAGGAAGGTGCATGCAGTCCAGTTGCCCTATTCTGTGTATAGGCTCACCTCGGCAGAACCACCGGATGATGCATGTCCGTCAGGCACACCCGCTGCCCTGCCATAGCCGCGAGCAGCCCGTCCATCGCGGCAGCATACTCCCTGCACGCGTCGGTGTCGCCCCTGCGCACCCGCCGCATCAGCCCGCCGTCCCTCACGCGGAAAACATGGGTCACCTCGATGCTCTTGGCGTCCCGTGCCTCTCCGAAGATCGCCAGGACCTCCCAGCTGTCGTCCCTGTCTATCGGCAGCTGGAGGGGACCCTGGAACCACTCGCTCTTGTGCTCCGTGTAGCGGCCGTGGGGGCACCACGTCGCCGGGAACCCTGTAGAAAGGGGGAAAGGAACACAGATGACGTGCGTGCGTGCTGGTGTCGTAGCACCGACGTCGGTGTTTGTCTGACTTGCCTTCGAACTGGCTCGTGGGCGAGGTGATGAAGGGCACACGCGGCTCGTCGGCCACACCGGCGTCGAAATAGTCACGATAGGCAGCCCGGAGGAATGGCGGCAGCAGCCACACGCTGGGGTCAGCCTGGTCCCTTTGCAGGATGATGATTGACGCTCGCAGTGAGTTGCCCGTCTTCTGCAGACACTTGGACGAGCGGCATATGACGGTGCGGGATGCGCCAGAGCTGTCGAGGCCGTGCTTCAGCTCAGCCACGATGGTGTCCAGACACAGACCACTCTTCAACGTGCTCTGACGGGCGACACACACACAGTTCGCCGATTCATCCATCGGTCATTCATCGCTTTGCCCCACCTTGCTCCCTCGGATTCGGATGGTGAATGGCACGATGTCGCCATCGTACTGGTCGTTCCCAACAACCCCAAAACGACCGAACCTCCTCCGAACAAACCACACAGGCTCGAAGACGCAGTCATCTTCAATCTTGACGCCGTTGTCGTGCTTGCGAACCGTCACGAAGTAGTGAGGCTTGCTCATCTCTCTCTCTGAGTATGATCACTCGACATATTCCGTGTCCTACTCGTGGACCTGCATACATTACAAAAGCACGAATTGGATAGATCCATGGTAAGACATCCGTGCCTATCGCATACCAGGGCGTAGTCAGGGAACCACTTTTGCTCCTTATGGAAGTGGAAACCCTAGAAACCAAACCCTAGAAAACTGCGAGCTAAGCTTTCCGTCGAGCCTGTGTTAGAGGCGAAAGCATTCAGGTACGGAGATGACCGCCTTGCCTGCTTCGAGGGAGGACAGCCTGGCGATGCCTCTCGCGGCCACGTCGTCAGCGCGTCGTCAAGCCCGTCAGATCTGCGATGGCTGCCAGCGGCCTCTCCGTGCCTGCCTTTGCTCTTTCGTTCCAGCAACAAAGATCCGTGTCGGAGCTGGAGGCTTCGAGAGCATTCATGGCATCATTGTGTACGTGCATCCACTGGAGAAGAAGAGGTGAGGTTGACACACAGCTGAGCAGCCAACCGTGAGACTGCTTCACTGACTCTGTCTTGTCTGTGCTCATCAGGACGTTCCGGTCGTGTCCTCTGCTGCAGATGTGCGTCGAGGGCGTCCATGCCATCGAAACAAGACGCCCGGTGGTGCCCTCGCCCCCTCCCCCCTCCCCGCTGCTCATCTACCGCACCGACACCAGCCGCCCGCTCTCGTCAGTCCTCCCATCTCTGTCCTTCCCCGTCACACTCGTCGCCCTGGACGGCACTTGGCAGCACACAAAGGAGATGTATAGAGCTGCACCATGGCTGGCAGACCTGCCCGCTGTCCATCTCGACGCGAGCGAGACCAAGGGCTATTTCTGCGACGTCCGTCACGCCCCTCTGGAGCTGGTTGAGCTGGGGGCAGTGAGCACCGCTGAGGCCGTGGCGTGTGTGGTTTCGGGGATGGGGAGGTGGCTGTCTGACGAGGCCGTTAGCAGGTGTGATGAGGTGGTGGGGAGGCTGCTGCAGGGAGTGGGTGACATGCAGGAGAGGGCCAAGACTGAAGAGAAGGACAAGGGCAGGGAGGGGAGGGCGGTGTGTGACCATGAAGGGGACGATGGCTGGTGAGGGTTGAGATGTGTATGTCTGTGTGTGAATGCCAGAGACCTGGGTTTGTTCCATGTGTCTGTCTGTGTATAGTGTACAGAACTGGCGAGCCACAGACACTCTCATTCGAGTCGAGTCTTCCTACTGACGACATATGACAAGCCCCACAGTCCCAAAATCACAACCACACTGACCACAAGCAGCGACCACTTCAGACCGTTCGATGCAGAGCCCATTCTAGCGACCCTCACATACTGACTGTCTGTCAGCGCATCGGCCGAGTGCTGCACACAGAGGTAGGCCTGGCAGCTGGTCTCAGCTATATCGAAGAAACACATGACCAGGGGCAGCAGCGCCAGCCGCTCAGCCCATCTGACATATGTGTGGTCACACTTCAGCAGATCAACACAGCAAAGGATGAGAGAGCCGAGCAGCACCACATAGAGAGGCATAATCCACAGGAAATCGGCCACAGCGAAGAGAAGGTATCGCTGCCTCCCGTCTGCACCCATCTTCTCAAACAGGCCGTGTACTCCAGCGACAGAGTAGGCAAAGACAGCGTCCGGCGGTTCAGCCCCTTGCAGCATCCACAGGGCCAACACGTTGGAGAGGGAAAAGACCACGAAGAGCAGCGGCAGCCATCCAGAGTGTGCGGCGGACCTGAGAACAGCGAGATAGCGTTGAAATAAAGACATCCGCGATGTCACTGCAGAGCCGACGGCCTTCATGTCACTGCGATGGCAATGCTGCTGGAGTTGAGCTGCACACAAACACACATGAAGGACAATAATGACAATAATGACAGATCAAGATGCGTGCAGAGGGCGTGTGTCTGGTCACTGTGTCCTCCTCACCTTAGCCGCGGAGTACTGGTACCCAGTCCACAACAAACACATGCATCTGGCAATTAGATGAATCAGATGCAGTAGAGTTACCGCGCGTGAAACCAACGTCGAAACCCTGAACAACGTCGAAAAACAACTCCTCACTCCCACATCTTCGCTATGTCGTCTTCTGCGGCCCCTTCCCTAAGCAAATCAAAATCTGCCGTCCGCAGGCCCATCAACGTCCCCTCTCGCACGGGCCACACAGGCCCCAACACGCAGCCTGACAGACCGGGATGTGCACAGACAAACCAGTTGGCGCGCAGGCATCTGGCAATTAGATGAGTCAGATGCACTGATCTCGTCGTTACCGATGGGGGACGGACGCTTCAGAGTGCGGTGGGGGGGAACGAGCAGCAAGACGCCAGGGTGAGCAGCTTGGCCATGACGGAGGAGCAGCAGCAGCAGCAGACAGGGGAGGGTGAGGGGCGGGGGTGATGATGCAAGCCGTAGACAGAGGGGTAGGCGCATAGAGAGTGTGGTAGGATGGCTCTAGTTGGTGGATGGGATGGGCTTTGCGAGGTGAGGTGGCTGTTTGCCTGTCTGTCTGTCTGTCTGTCTGTTTTGCGTGTGTGTGGACACGAAGAACAAAGGGAAGGCAAGCAGCTTCACCGTCAAGAACGCATACCATACGTGTACACAAAAAGGGTTCTCAGCGACAACATGGACACATCAATCAACGCATGCACGTCTGTCTGTCTGCTGCAAAACCGCATGGATTCGATCGGCATCATGTCATATGAGGCAGCTGAGCTGGCTGTGCGCATTGCATACGGTAGCTGCGCCTGGCCTCCTGTTCATCCTCCATCCATCCGTCCACCACCCACCAGTGTCGCAGTCGATCAACCTGCATACATCACAGCCATGACGCTCACAATGAGTGCGTGTATGTCGCGCTGATCTAGCTCATCCCCTGCCCCCTTCTCACCCTCTTCATCATCATGCTGCTGCTGCTGGCGGCCATCGCCATTGCCCTCTCCGTCGATGTCGCCATCCACATCTGCACACTCAAGACACGCAAACATACAAATGGGCCCAATCACACACACATGTATTCCACTCACCCTCATCGCTGTCGCCGTCATCAGCACCCTCATCATCATCCTCTGCACACACACACACACATACGAGTAGGACACCTAGCAAGGCGGGCTGGGCACCGCACACAGACCACTTACCCTCACCACTATCGCCATCGTCGCCATCCGCACCCTCCTCTGCACACCACCACACGCACACCGATTCATCCGACCGACACACCGAGATGGCCGCGGCCGCCTGCACACTCACCCTCATCAGCGACTTCCTGCTGGTTGGCCACCATATCTGCGATGGTGCTGCCCAGCGGGCCGCGCATCAGAGGGGCGGTGGTCGGTCGGCAGTCCTTGAAGGCATCCGATGCATCACCCACTGGCGACTCGGTGGTGAAGGCAAACACAGCCACTGCATTCAGCGACACAGCACACGTCAAAGGATGGCTCAATCACCAGAGGATCTTTGACCCCTTTCTAACCTATGGTCGTGCCGGCCCAGGTGGCGAGAGTGACACACGCGACGAATGGGCCGTCGAACGGCGTCAGCAGCAGATGCCGAAGCTCTTCAGGGGGATCCACATCGTCACACTTGCCCGCCATGATGGCGGTGCATCGGTTGGGGGTGGGGCGACTGGTTGAGGAGGCCGTCCAGCACACCGCCGTGAGCATGACTGAGGAGACCAACACATAACAGAGGGAAGAGACCTGATAGATGGCTCGATGTGTGTCTGTCTAAGTGTCGTGTGCCCTGCGTACCGGTCCACGTCAACGCAAAGAGTGCACCCTTCATTGGCCATCGGAGAGGTCAGGATGACCCTCATGACGAACGCCGACGCCGAGGCATTAGTGAGCGCCGCACCACCGGCCGTCCAGCTGCCCCCCTGCCGGCGGATTGTAGATCTGACGGGCGGGCTGTCGTCGATGGTGTGTGTGTGGTATGGGTGGGTGGGGGGAGGGGCGGGTTGATGTCCAGCTCGAAGCCCGGCTCGTCCTTGAGGGCACGCACACCGCCGCCCGGCTGGTCGAACAGCTCAAAACGGCCCAACTGGCCGCCGAAGTTGACGTGTCGGCCGACCATCTTCCACAGCGCAATCACACGCGCATCGGCCAAATACGCCTACACAGACACCACACGACAGACAGACAGACAGACAGACAGACAGATGAGTGCCACTCGCCCCGCCCCTCGCTCATCTGCCCACCTGTTTGCTATCGTGGCGCGCACAATCCGCCACAGCCAGTGTGATCGGCAGCTGACAGCAGCCGCGCTGAGCCGCCAACTTCAGCGCATCGGTCACCTCTGGTCCACTGCTGCGTATCCACCAGCCAGATGGCCTTCAGCAGCAGAGGCCGGTCCAGCTGAGCGTCGAATGCGATGATGGTGTGCAGCCCCTTGGCCACCAGGCAGCGATTGAGTCGGCTGCTCAGGACGGCGGCCGAGAAGTCGACTTCATAGAGGAAGTGGGCCGTGACTCTGAGGCTGCCGACCTCCGACCGGCTGCACACATACACAGATGGCACAACACACCCAAACACACACACAGCTGTCAACTGCCGCTCCCCCTCCCTCATTGATTCGTGTGTGGTTTGCATACGTGTGGAGGGCATCTCTGTCGTCTTTGTGAAGGAAGTCCAGTGTGTGGTCGTCGATAACGGCACCATGGCGGTCCGCAGTGTGGTTGTTGCCCATCTCGCCCTCTACGCTCCCGCCGGGCGGATCAGCTTCACACTCATGTCATCGATGAAATCGATGGTTTTTTGATTGTCGAACAGGAGCAAGAGATGAATCAGATGCACTGATCTCGTCGTTACCGATGGGGACTTCGAACAGGGCTGGGGCGTGAAACCCTGAACAACGTCGAAACCCTGAACAACGTCGAAAAACAGCTCCTCACTTACACATCATCGCTATGCCGTCTTCTGCGGCCCCTCCCCTAAGCAAATCAAAACCCGCCGTCCGCAGGCCCATCAACGTCCCCTCTCGCACGGGCCACACAGGCCCCAACACGCAGCCTGACAGACCGGGATGGCGGTTTTCATCCATCGTCGCCCCGCACCATGCCCCTGAGGCAGCTGCTCCACCCGAATCCGGCCCCTACACCTCACAGAACACGCCCCCCCAGCCACAACAGCATTCCGGGGAGCATCCTCCCTCAGCGGCTCCGGACATGGCCGCGAAGGCTGGCGAAGGGAAAGCAGCCATGGGGCCGCCTTCAGAGTGCCGGCCACGCAGCCCACCCAGCCCTCACAGGAGCCCTCGCCTTGGCAGTCCTGTGCAGGAGTGGATCAAGAGTGTGCATGAGCTGGAGAGGGCAGGGCAGCCGCATCTCGAGGATTACTATGCTGTGTCGCTGCCTAAGGAGTCTGACGCCAAGCCCAAGATCAATGGGATTGTGTCGGAGCTGCAGAGAGCCACAGAGAGCGCTGCAAGGCAAAGCAGGAGGGAGAGAAGACAGCTGCACTCTGCATCTGATGAGAGGAAGAGACAATCGCACGTCGGCGGTCGACAGAGCAGGGGGGCGACTCGTGGCAGCAGCAGAGTGGAGAGGGAGATGAGGCTGCCAATCCTGCAGCAGCATGACCTGTCAGCCCCGGGCCCTCTGCCAGTTATCGGCGAGGAGTCGCCAGCTGTGCTGCAGTCGGAGATGCACATCCGGTACTATCATTACAAGGACGAAGAACACTATTCCCCGAGACGGCAGCAGGTTGGGCACACCAGCGTGTCACCCCAGACACACAAGCAAGAGCTGCCGCGGATATCGACCACGAAACCGGCAACACGCTCACCTGCCGATCGCGCGAGAAACCCTTACACCGCCACCGTGGTGCCCCCCCCGGAGCTGCCGAGGCCGAGGACAAAATGCCCCCCTCCCCACACCAACAGAGGCCACAAGACTGCCAGGGCAGAGCCACTGCCCCTGTTGCTGCAGCGGAGCCCTCTTGCGAAGTCTCTTGTCCAAGAAATGTACGAGCAGAAGGGCCGAGCTGAGCTGTGGAAGAAACTGGAGCAGGAGACGGCCCACAAGAAGGGCATGAAGGGGGTGCTGCTGGTGGAGCTGAGCATGCCTGAAGGGGGCGGGGAGGACCTCAGCAGCAGTGGCCGGCCTGGGAGCCGGTATGTGGTTGAGCTGAGGGTGATGACGGGAGGTGGCGGGGCGAGGTTCAGAGGGCACCTGGGGTCCATGTCTGCAAGGGGGGAGGATGACGCGAGGAGGAGGACACGTCAGGTGGCGGTCGTGCCACTGTTTGAGGTGACTGCAGCAGCATGCACACACATGAACAGAGAGAATCACAGGCTCTTCTCGTTGTCTGCAGGGTCCCTCTTCTGAGCGGGTGTCTCTGCACCCATTCCACGTTGACGACATCCACTCCGAGTCCCTCAGCGTGTCCCTCATGCAAGTGTCATCCCCCCACTCCACACGCACAGCGGCACCCAGCCAGAGCCAGCACTCCCGATCCTCGCCAAACCTCTTCCCGTCAGGCGAGCAACAGGGCCCCACTGTGATCCACTCGCGGCACATCCCCCTGCAGCAGATCGTCACCCACCCCCCACGAGCCAAGCCCATCGAGGGCGCACTCACCAACCCCAGCCCGCCGTTCTTCGCGCTGCCCTTCCGGCTGGGATTCTTCTCGGAGGCTGCGTGGAAAGATGTAGAAGACAGGATGAGCGCCGGGGAGACATTGGACCCGTTTGAGGGGTTGGGTGAGTCGATCAAGGGTGAGAGGGAGAGTGTGCTGCCCCGCCGGCCGTCGGCACGCAAGTCTGTGGCGGCCCCACAGCCACCCCCGTCAGCGAGAAGACGGTCATACAAGCCGAGAACGAAGCTGCACCATCGAGGTGATGACGCTGGCGCGCCACCGAGTATCGCACCGCCTCCTGAGAGAATGGGGAAAGGGGAGGTTAGCAAGGCGTCTGCTGGGCTGAAGAAGAGGCGGCAGCTGAAGGTGGTCAAGTATGAGGACAACCGGAACGACCAAATCGGGGAGGCCCCTCGGTCGCATGCCGACACGGAGACACTGCCCATCCGCGATGGAGAAGACGACGAGACGCCGCCGCCAGAAGCCGTGGTCGCATCTGAGGTGCTGGGCGAGATCTGCAGGAGGGCCACAGGCGATTTTGAGAAGATGGCCGAGGAGACGGAGGCAGTGCCAGCGCATCAGCAGGAGCCCCCCCACTCCCGTCAACCAGACAATGACAATGACAATGACGACAATTCCCCCCAGCAATTGTTCGACGACGGCATGGACGACATCTTCGTGGTGCTCGAGTGCGCCATAAAGCTGCAGGCCTTTGCCCGTGCTGCTTTGGCAAGGAAGCGGTTTCGCAAGCTGAGGAGGGCGATGCAGGTGATGGCTGCGTTGAGGATACAGCGGAGATGGCTGACGAAGAAGAGGCGGGAGCATGGAGGCGGTGAGGATGATGGCGGGACTGTGGTGGTGGACGAGAAAATTGTTGCGGGCGGTGGATCAGCTTGATGATGCAGGAGGCGGCAGGGAGGGAGGGATTTGCTGTGGGTGGGTGGGTTTGTGTGTGGGGAGACTGTCTGTCGGTAGGTCTGTCCATTTTGCGCATCAGTGACATTCATTGGTTGGGTTGGCTACTTGCAGACCTTCTGCGTATGCGTGTGTGTCGTGTCGACTTGCATCCATTCCATTCAATGAATGAATCGCTCCGGAGGTCTTTTGGACAGTCATTGGTCGACCGACCAGCCAGCCAGCCAGCCAGCCATGGGAGTGAGTAGTGTACATCCATCCATTCATCCATCCAGTCAAGCCATCCTCCCCATGATACAGCCACACCAGGCAGACAGACAGACAGTCAGACCATCCGTATCTCTACACCTCACCACACACACACACACACACAAGGCATCCAGTCATTCGGGCAGTCGACGGCCACTCCACCCCGACAGCCCGTCGGTCAAGAAAATTAGAAGGGGTTCGGTTGCTGCAGCTTCCGATCACCTCCCCACTTTCTTGCGCCTCGACCGACGGAGTGGCACCGCCCGCCCGCCCACATCCACAGATTGTCATGGGTAGTAGGTGAAATGTAATGTAGGTGTGTATAAAGGAGGGCAGTCATGCAGGCGGGCAGTAAGGCTCATTGTAGGTGGCATCGCCGGCCAACTGTCTGTGTGTGCGTGTGCGCGTTCCTCTACACTGCGTCGTGAGCAATACCGTGATGGTGGTGGTGGTGCGTAATGTGTGTTGTATATGTGAATGTGTGTGGGTGTCCGTCTCTCTCTGTGCTCTGTGTATCGCTGTGTAAATCTGGAAAAACGCCATGACTAGTTAGTCACGCGCGCACACCATACACCAACACACCCATCCATCCATCCATTCAGCCATGTGTACCAGCCAGTCGTCCGAGAGAGAGAGAGCACGGGAGTGAGGGCGCGAGCTGTACATCCGCTTATCCATCCATCCATCCAGCCATCGAGAAATAAAGGTTGGCAGGCAGGCAGACACACACGGCACGGCATGGCATGGCACGGCACAGCGTGCATCACATCGTGCGATTGGCACTCTGTCTGTCTGTCACTGGGAGTCGGGCATTGGGCTACGGAGCCGACAGCCAGGGGAGGGGAGGGGAGGTGCCAGGGATTCATTCATAGGCTACGTACGGCTCACCCATGGCATGAATGCATCCATTCAATGCACCACGTAGGAAATAAAATAAAGGAGGCATTCATCGAAATGTACCCACCCACTGCAAACAGACAAACAAACATCCCTCTGGTTGGTTGGAAAACAAACAGCCACACCCACACGCGACACCCACACCACACGCCCAGTCGACTAACATCGACCAGCCGATGAGTGGGTGCGGTGCATTTGCTCATGACGCATGGGGACCATGGATGTAGGTCACGTGTGTGCACATCGTAGTATGAGTATGTGGTGTGGTGTGTGTTTAGAAGTATGACCGGTCGTGGGGGACCAGCGAGATGACGCTGCCCTCCTTGATCGAGTAGTCGAACAACGTCCACTGCACACAAGCCAACACACACGCACAGAGGGAGAGGGGGGAGAGAGAAGGAATGACCGACAAACTCACTCAGCGTGGTGTCCGAGTGTGCATAACATACCTGGAGGTTGAGCGGCATGCCGTGGAAGAGGAGGCGTATCTCCCCCCCGCGGGTGCCCCGCTTGGCGTTCACCATGTGCTGCAACTCCTTGATAGTCATCTCCTCGTGCACCCTAGTCATATATATACCAAACACACACACACAGCACTGTGTGGCGCGTGTACGTCTGTGGTGTGGTTGGTGTCTGGCCAGGTACTTGAATGGTCCGAGGGGTGGTCCCTTGGAAGGTTTGACGCTCACGGTGAACTCCTGCCCCTCAACGCTTCCAGCACTAGCACCGCCCTTAGCCTTGCCCTTGGCTGCACAATGACGGGCGGTGCGCGCACAGACAGAAGGAAAAGCGGGGGGGTGAAGGAATCCATGTGATTGATGGGCATGTGTGTGTATGTGTGAGATGAGATGGTCAACCCACCTACCTTTGGGTTTGGCGGCAGCAGCCTTGGCCTTAGCCTTGCCCTTGGGCTTGGCAGCAGCAGCACCTGCAACCACACACACAACAACACACAACAAGGGCGAGCAGAACACGCTCATGTGCGCGTGGATGTGTCCATTGTGTGTTCGTGTGTGTCGGTGGGTTGGGCAGTGCAGTGTACCGGTAGGTTTCTTAGCGATGGGTTTCTTGACGGCCGCACCACTCTTGGCTTTGGCCTTGGCCTGCACCGCACGAGCCTTCGCCTTCGCCTTGGCCTTGGGGACCGCAGCAGCAGCAGCCGCAGCCTCGCCAGCCTACACACACACAGCGCACACAAAATTTGCAGATGAACACACACGGTCAGGATGCCCTCCACGCTTTTCTGTAGCGTACCTCGCCCTTGGGCGGAGCAGACGGCGTCGGTAGGTAACGAGCAGGCACCGCACGAGCACGCTTGCCTGCACCAGAGGGAAAACACACCAACACACCAACACATATAACACATAAGAGAGAGGCTGAATGAGGCATCCTGTCCCATCCCATCCATCCATTGCCAGAATGCACTTGCACCACCATCCTCCGATGCATCCATCCCCGCCCTCCCCGCCCTGCCCGCCTCCCATCTGCCCCTCCAACTCACCTGGGGTACGATGGGCAGCGAGGTTGGCCTTGCCCTTGCTGACGCGACGCACCTTGGCCTTGGCTTTGGCCTTGCCGGCAGCAGCAACCTTGGCCTTGGCCTTGGCAGCCGGGCCCTTCTTAGGCGCGGCCTCCTTCTTCTTGACTATGTCCTTCTTGACCACCTTCTCGGCACTCTTGCCCGCCGCTCGCTTGGGCCTGGCGGCCACCGCTGCGCTCTGCTTCTTGGGCGCCATGACAAACCGACAACAAAGCGATGGATGCTAAGCTAACGACACGCACAAACTGCCTTCAACCCGGGGAAACGATGCGAGATTGCGGATCGCCGGTCTCGACGCAAGCTCGTGGCAAGAGCGACAAAAGACCCTTGGCACGATGCAGGCGACGACGTTTGCCACGCCAGCCGCAGCAGCGGGTTCGGTTGGTTCGTCTGGTGGCCCAGTTCCCGCGGCGTTCATCTCACCGCCTCCCGCTGCGGCCACGACGTCTGCCTACCCCTTGAACCCCTTCACACAACAGACTGCGTAGGTCGCTGTGACCGGCAGAGAGGCCGTCTTGTCTCGTGACGGTGGAATGGATCATGGTTTTTGTTTGTCTGCGAATGACTGACTGTGCATGTTTGTGTGTGACGGTGTCTCCCTCTCTCCGTATCGTATCGTATCGTATCCTATCGTATCGGTGTGTTGTGTTGCGTTGTGTTGTGTTGTGTGTGCAGGAGTGATCCTTTCGCCCAGCAGCTGCCTGGATGGGCCGCGGCCAACCACGAGATCATGCAACTCACAGATCTGGTATTGGAGAACAATCAAATCGCCGTCTCTCTCCATTCTCTCTCTCTGTTCCTCTCTTTCCGCCTCTTTGTGTCGTCGTTCTCGTGCAGTATCAGCAGCAGTTGGCGGAGCTCAATGCCGCACACAGCCTCCTGCTCGTGAGCTCCCAAGGACACTGAAATGCACGTACCTAATTCTCTGTTTGTAATGCTTTTGTCTGTCTGTTTGTCTGTTTGTCTCGTTCTTTCTTGTGAGTGCAGGAGGACCAGGAGAGATTGGCTGCCCTGCTGGCGCCCTACCTGTCGGAGGACGGTAAGGTGCTCGCACCACCGGATGAGAACGTCATGCTGCTCAAACAGGTAGGTAGGTACACAGAGAAGCTTATGCGTGCTGGGTTGGTTGGTGGGCTGATTTGATTGATGTGGTGCACTGCATGTCATGTGTCTCACCTCACCTCCTGCTGTGGACCGACAGGGGCTGGATCTCCGTCTGATCGAGTTTGAGGAGGACTGCCGGCGCATACAGCAGACAGAGCGCCGGCTGCAGCGCAAGATCGAGGACTGCACCGTCAACTATGAAGCCAACCTGTTCGAGGCCCAGGGTGGGTGAGAAGACCCCGTATGTGCACCCATTTCCTCATGTGTCTCGGTTGATTCTCCCTTTGTATGTCTGTGTGTGTTTCGGCCGGTCAGAGTACGCCGAGAGCCGCCTCCTGGAGCAAGTGCGCGACCAGCAGCGCATCATACAGTGGGCATCGGAGAGAGACATACATGACATGAGAGGGAGACAAGTGTCTTTGCACATGTGTGTACGCCATGGATGGGTTATATGTCCTTATGTGTGTGTGTGTGCAGGTTGCAGCAGCGTGAGCTTGATGAGCTGCGGTTTCAGCGCGACCTCTACGCCGACGAGACCAAACGACTCAGACACATATGCAGATACGGCAACTGGACGCTTGACGGTACGTCAGTCAGGCACACAATCACATCGAGCCGTGCATTCGGTTGTGCGTGTATCTGTGACGTTAGGTTATGGTGCGGGTGAGGGTGAGCCTCTGCCTTCACCCAGGACACTCCACAAGGCACTCGCAAAACAGAAAGCAGAGTCATCTGCCGACACAGATACACACGACACGATGCCATTGCTTCGGACAGATAAGTTCCTTTGTGACTTGTGTACACAGTGGGTGGATGCGCGAGATCCGCCACGAGAAGCGGAGAGCTGATGGCGGCGGTGGCTACTTCGACACCGACGACAACAATGCCCCCTCATTACCCGCCGAAGCCAGCGGCTCCGACAGAGAACGACAGTGACACCACCAGCACCACAGCACGAAACAACCAACAACTCATTCTCTCTCTCTGTCTGTGTGTGTCAGCCCGCGAGCCCCCCCACTGAAGGTGACGCCCCCAGAGGGTGCAGGAAAAGAGAAAGTCGTGTCGCCCGTGGCGGCCAAGGCCGGCAGGGAGAGGGAGAAGGAAAAGAAGGCCAAGCCGAAACTGAACCTCAAGGCGGCAGGTGAATGGGTGGAGGAGGAGGAGGAGGTGATGTTGTGGCCGGCTGATAGGGTGTCCTATGTGTGTTTGTTGTGTGTCTCTCTGCCAGCTGCTAAGGCGGGGACTTCGTCGTTTGCGAGCATGTTCAGCTTTGGCTCTCAGGCGTGATCATAAATTGACAGATGGATGTGGACATGTGCATTAGGAAGGAGACATGAGAGTTCGCATCTTTGTTAAGACAAAAGGCCGTGTCCGTCTTGTGACCTGTGAGACTCTCAACGCAACTCAAGCCAACGACAACATGTGTATGCCCGCTCCCACCCCAACCCAACCCCCCCCATCCCCCATCCCCTTCCCTCACACAGTCTCCTCCAAATGCAGCGCATCAAGCGTCAATTCCCCACCATCGGCCACCCTCTCCCTTGCCGTGGCCTGTCTGTTGCTTGGTGTAGACGTGTGTGTAGCAGCAGCAGCAGCAGCAGCAGGCGGGTGCATCTCGCCCGGCCCGAAGGAGCTGGCGATCGATGACGGGCTGCCCTCGGTCGCTGAAAATGACGGGAGAGAAGAGCAGGAAATCTATGTCGCGTTATTCGTTGTTTGTGTTTGTTTGCACCCGAGAGTATGGAGATCGCCCGCCGGTTTGCGGAACGGAATGCCTGGTCCACCAGCAGATGCACGTCGTACAAGCCCTGAGAAGAGAGTACGATGGGTGGAAGCCCATGGCTGGCTGTGGCTCGTTCTGTGCTGACTGCGTGGCATTCGTCGTTGCTGGTGAGGGCTGATGGCATCAAACACTCCACGCCCTTCCGATCGGGCAGCAACACAGCCTGAGGCACACAACATGCCATGGAGACATTGTTGGCTCCCATCCATCTCTTCGACGCACCTCAGTGGTGAATACGCATCCCGAGTCCCACTGGTTGGTCAAGGCGACGGAGTAGTCATGGCCCTCCTGCAGCACTGACGTCCGGATCTCTAGCCGCACGGGAAACGTCACGCCACACGGGATCTTACACGGCAACACAGACTTGATCACCAGCTGCATACAAAGACAGAGACAGGGTCCATGGCGCAACATCAGTGCAACAGTCTTGACGCCCTCATTACCTTTGTGATGGGTGTGAGTTCGCCGGGCGGTCTAATTGGCTTGGTGAACAGCACGGCGCGCCTCTCCTGCCCCCTCTCCCCGCTCACCGCTACACCCGCAATCCACTTCTCAAAATCATCCCGCACAATCGGCGCCTTGCGATTGGACGACACCTCATGTGTCAGCAGGGAGCCCAGAGGCTGGCCTATCAGCCGCCTGCAGTACTCGTCGATGGCGTCCACCATGTGTGCGGGGGTAGGGTAGTCGTCGAAGCCGACCCATAGTGCGCCGAAAAGCTCGGATGAGACGCCATGCCGGACCTCCACCAGCACCTGATCGGGCCGCACTGTCCCTGTGGCAGTGCCTCTCTCGCCCCCTCCCCTTGACGCACTCTGGCTGGGAGAACAGCCAAGCGACCACACTGACGACGCCGGCGAGAATCTTCCTGACACAAATCCGGCTCTCACACCAGCTGCGGCCCGCGCGTCGTGCGGCGATGGCGGCACGCTCGATGCAGGGGACGAGCGACACGCCGCCCCTGCCCCTCCCCCTCCCCCAGTGACGATGCCATCGGCCGGGTGGTTGTTGGGCAGCGATGCCGACTGCGTGTGGTACACGGCATGGGGGGACGAGTGGGGCGAGCTGCGAGACGAGAAACCGCTGGCGGATCCGGGGGACAGAGGGCCACGGTAGTCCGTCTTGAGGCGCGCTGCACTCGGTCCTTTTGGCGGTCGTCCGAGGGCACTGGGCGTTGGGGGGCTCTGATGCGCGCCACCCGGGCGCTCATCAGTGCTGCGGCTGCGCCGGGTGGTCCTCTCGGGCGAGAGCGATCGAGAGATGCGGCGATGGGGCCGTGAATCGTGATGGTGGACGCGTGGGGGAGGGGGCGGCCTCGGCGGCGGCATATCAGCACCTCGTCTGCCCTCCTCTCTCGCCCGTCTCTGTGGTGGCGTGTGTGAGGGGCTGCTCGATGACTGCCTGCCCTGCGGAGGGGGCGAGGGGCTCCTGGGCGGGAGATACAGCTTCAATGGCGGCAGGTCCGTCCTCGGCTGAGCCCTGGATGCCCCACCCCCATAGTAGTGCCTCTGTCTCTTGGCCGCCTTGGACGACGTCCGACTGGTCGACTCCGATGTCCATCCACCGCCACTCCTCTTGCGCGGATGCGGCAGGGGGAGGCCGTCGTCAGACAGGACGGCGTCGAAGGAAGTGTCTCGACCGCCATTGATGCGGTGCCGTGGCTGGTGTTCGAGTGCATGGTCAGAGTGGTCGTCTGGCCATGCGTCGGGGTCGTCAAGTGCCGGAGGGGCTGAGGGGTTGCTGGGGTGGGAAAGGCGGAGGGGCGGCTCTTGGAGGGCAGGAGCAGGAGGGCGATCATCCACTGGGGGAAGCTGCTGAAGGGACATACAGAGAAAGACTGTATGTGGGAGAAACTGAGCCCCTTCATTCTTTTACCTACCTGATGTGTGACGTGTCCGCGGCTTCTGAGCTCGGCGACGACGCCCTGAATGGCCGACGACGGCTCGCCCAGCTTCAGCAGCACCGCCGACAAGTGAATCCTGATGGTCCCAGGGTCGGCAAACCTGCACCTCTCGCCATCTCCATCCACACCAATCTCCCCCCTGCCGCTCTCCCTCTCGCCCCCGTGGATGCGTGTCTTCCCCTGGTCGAAAGCCCGCTGGCAGTCCTCCTCGAAGACGCACCGCTTCAGTGCCTTCATCAGCATCTCTCTCGCGCAGTGGAGGTAGAAAAGCCTTTGTGCCTGCCGCTTGGCCACCGACGCCCTCTGCGCATATGCGATGCCCTTGGATATGAGCCTGTCAACCGTCGGCGATGCCTCTGCAATACCACGCAATGCAGCGCAGTGCAGTGCAAGCATACACCACGACGCATGCAGACGGCTGATGGGCGCTTGGCTTTGCAATGGTGTGGTTTGTTACCGGAGTCTGGCGGTGATGGAGAAGGCTCCACGTGCCGCAAACATTGAGGGCAGACACTGCCCATGATCTAACTATGGGTTAGAGCAAAGAAGATGGAGAAAACGTTGCATCAGGCGGGTATATCTGGTGTACCGCAGCCCTTCTCGCCCTCTCCCATCCGTCGGTAGCCTCGCCCCTCTCACTCCTCCGCCGTCTCAATACCGCTAAATTTCCTGCCTGGCAAGTCAGTCACTCTACTAGCATGTTGTCTGTCAAGCTGACGACCAGCGGACACGGCGGCCGAGCGCCTGAAGACGACGACATCGCCGACAGCCTCCGCTCCCTCGTCGCAGAGTTCACAGGTGCGACAAAGAGGACAAAAGACCTGAGGAGAGCGTCGGATCTCTCTGTGTGCTGGGTGCGCGTGTGTGTCTGCAGGCGTGTACGATGGCGGCGTGTCGTGCGAGAAGGTTGACGACATCTCCCACGAGATCCAGTGCTGCGACAACCAGACGACTGAAGACTTCTTCAACCGATTCAGCGCGTTTCAGCGGTTCTGCACCGATGTAAGGAATGGTGGTGGATGGCCGGAGCAGGCGTGACGTGACACACTCATCTCTCTGTGTGTCTGTGCGTGGTGTGGTTGCCATGGTTGGTGCAGCACGACCGCAATCTGTTCCTTGTGCGGGGATGCACCATTGCGGGTGTGAAGCTGATGCCGACGAGGGACCCCGGCGCGAGACCGTTCAACCTGGTGCCCGTCGACCACACACTCCTCACCGAAAAGACGGTCGGTTGGCCGATGGACGGGCGGATGGTGGATGTACCACTGTGTGTGTGTGTGTGTGTGTGTGATGTGTGTGCGTCATGTGTGTGTTGTGTTGTGTTGGTCAGATCCGCGGGAGCACGTCGTTCATATTCCGTTCTCTGCTTCGCGTGATGCACATCTACCGCGACTCACCCACCGACTCGCGAGTCTACCTGTCCGGTGAGCCGCGCACCTGCACACACACACATATGATTCCCTGCACAAGGATGCTGTCTGTGGTTGTTGATGTCACCCGCGCGCAGGTGTGGATTTCATTCTGGAGCGTGTGTGGGACCCACTGCGACTCTTCAAGGAAGGTCGGCAACGCTGCACGACCCACACACACACCACACACCACACACCACACACACGAAAGACGTATGTTGATGTGTGGTCTGTCATGTGTGTGTGAAGGCGACAAGGAAAAGTTGTTTGAGGTGTCGATCGTGCGCACCCAGGGCAGCCGTGCGGGCCGCACCGGACTCGCTGTCGTCACCGTCGAACCTGCTGACGAAATCGAAACACCGATGGTGCGCTGTTAACGACCGAATCACCCACATGTGGCCCGCCCGCCGATGTGTGTGTGTGTCCATTGCACCAGACCGCGATCAAGACGGCGTCGATGTGTGTGTACGACCAGGCCAATAACCAGGTGCTCATGCTCAAGCGACACAACACAGGTACGGTGACGAGACGACACGCATCCAACTCACGCGCAGAAATGGGACCTTGCTGTGCTTGGGTGTGTGTGTGTGTGTGTAGATGTGGGTGCGGATTTGGCCTGGCGCATCAAGGCCTTCTGGGAGGCCAGACCCGGGGAGCGATCGTCGTGCGACAGACTACTGGTGAGGGAATCAGATCAGCCGAACCGATTCTCACACACGACACGCTCACAGCTTGCTCTCTTGTGCGCGTGTGTGTGTGTGATGTGATATTGTCAGTCTCGCATTGACGTGACCAAGTTGTCTGATGAGGAGCTGCACCTGCTGTGCAACTTCGACCAATACACGTGTTTCAGAGTCTTCTTCGGTCGGTGTGTGTCACTCACACACAGGACACTTACAAGCCTTTTGCAGACGCTAGTGTGCGTCGTCGTGTGCACTGCAGGTGCGTTTATGTTCCGGGGCAGCCGCACCCCGCAGCACATCCACAGCGATGTCCTCAAGGAAGCCGCATTCATGCAGCTCGTGAGAATCGCCCCTCCCTCCCGGACAACACATTACACACATGCTATCGAATTGATTGATATCTTCGGTCAGATTGTGCATTTTCGGCTGGAGCATGAGCGACGGCAGGCGGAAGGCATCAGAGTCGACCATGACACGTGCGCGATAGGACCCACACATTCGGACATACGCAGGCTTGATGATGATCTCCGCTGTGTGTGTGTGTTGGTGCGTGTGACGACAGGTGGTGTCTGATGGGCGGCTCACCCCGCACCAACTTCAGCCCGGTGACTGGCGAGTGGGTGCTCGAGACGCCCCTCGAGCGCGCCTGCACATCCGTCAGAGACGAGATCGGCGTCCACTGTAAGCTCCGATCCACCAACACGACACGCCATCACACAGAGGGGTGCACCCGTGTCTGACAAAAACATCGTCAGGTGGGTATTGGTGCGACATGAGTTCGGTGCACCTGATGCGGTGCCAGAGCCCGGCCGCCAACGGCCCCGAGAGCGACACCCACAGCGAGGCCTCTGCGGGCAGCACACGAGACACACCAACACACACCATTCCCATCGACGATGGCGGCGTCGCCTATGTCGACGCACTGCGCCACGACGGCAAGTTCAAACACCGGTACGTTGCCTGCCATTTGTTATGTGCCGTCCGTGGTGGCCAGCAGCAGCAACAGACAAATGCTTGAATGATGTGTGTGAGTCGAGTCAAGGGAATTGTGTGTGTGTGTGTGTGTTGGTGTGTTTTGGTTGCTGCACTGTACTGCACTGCAGCATCTACGTCTGTTTCGTGAGTGAGGAGAACATGGCTGCCGGCATGGAGGACCCCAAGAGACTCCGACTCAAGGTGCGTGGCGTGGCGTGGGGGGACACAGACAGAGAAGAGTTGGATGGCATCGATGCCATCAACCGTGAGTGCAGGACACGTGTCATCATGATGTTGTTGTGCATGTGTGATTGTCGTGTCAGAATGAGAGCGAGCGCTGCTACGCCCGCTGGATACCCCTAGAGAAACTGTCGACATGCCTACGGTGAGCATGGCATGCTGGCAGCCAGGCCAGTCAATGCACACGACGATCCTTTCCGCACACTGAACATTTCCCTGTCTGTGTGTGCGCAGTCGCGGCGCCGAGTACAACCTGGCCGAGTGGATCAAAGACCTGTGCATGACCAGGTAGGCGCCGCAAACACGCACCACATGACATAAGATACACACGCGCCCGTGTGTCTGTCCTTCTCAGTTCGCCCATCCACAGCCGCCAGCCGCTGCTCATTCGCGGCAACATCCCCCTCAAGGACAAGAACCACCCCTCCCTCAACACCCGCAGGGACCGAGACAGAGACCTCAACAGCAGCAGCAGCAGCAGCACCGACAACCGACGCGGCAACAACAACCGCAGCAACCAGAACGGCATCACGATACGGCCTTCCAACACGACGCCGCTCGACACCATCGACAACTGGCGATCGGGCGGCGACAACCAGCAGCAGCAGCAGCAGTATGTCCCCAGGAAGAGCAACTCGATGGGTGTGGGTGTGGGTGTGGGGGACGGTCCGCTGCTGGGGCCGGGCCGAGAGGAGAGGGGGGGCGAGAGGGGCAATAACATGCGCAACATGGGCAATCGCACCAACGATGGTCAGTCAGCGATGCGATTCGTGTGCATGTGCTTGGATGGCGTGTGTGTGTGTATGGTATGGCATGCATCGATGGCATCAGGTCGTTCTGGCGGTTCTGGTGGGTCCAATCGCGCTCCTCGCGGCCGCGCTGACCAGAGCGACAACTGGAGGGCATGAATTATCAACACAGCAACACAGCGAGGGAATGAGACAGACTAGACTGGTCCACATCACATACTACTATATACCTTCTACTACTGAAGGGGCGGGAGGGGAGTGGGGTCACCCCGCCGGCTGGTTGGTGGAATTGGGAGAGAGGACAAGTCTTCCTTCGTACCTACCGTACACACCTATATATGGGGATGTGATGTATGTCTCTATCTACCCATTCATAAATACTCACATACATCTCCTGCTAGACTACGCTACGCAATGCTATGCTATGTTTGGTGGTCAACGGTGCATACGGCGCCGTCTTTTCCGTTGTTGGCTGGTGCGGTCAGCCAGACAACGACATGTGTCGTGTCGATGTAGATCATGTTACGACACACACACACACACACACAGAGAGAGAGAGAAAGATACAGAGTGAGAAGTGGACCACTTCATTATGGATACGCTCGTTCATTCATTCAGCGAGTGGGTGTCACGAGCGGGGAGGGGGGAGGGAGCGGAGCGCAGCAAGAACCAGCAATTATGGCATGGATGGAGGCAGGCCTGGGAGGCAATTGGCAGGTATGGCTGCTGTGCTGTGGGTGAGTCAGTCAGTTCGCGTGTGTGGTGTTCGGATAAAACTGGCCGGATCCACGCGGACCGACGTACGTTACGTCACGAGCAGCCCGCCCATACAATACAATACAATACACCACAGATCGACAGCCACTGCTATGTAACCCCATATGACGGACAGACAGACATGTGCGTGCGGTGGGCGGGGCGGGGCGTGTGGTTTGGGTGACTGACTGCACTGGCACTATTCTACAGCTGCACGTCTTTATGTAGCCATCCATGTTCTATAGGCGAGAGAGAGAGAGGGAGAGAGAGGTGTGGGTAGGTGACGAGATGATGAGTTGCACCGCCGCAACAAACCTCCTTCAGGCATGTGGACTCACGCGCACTTGCGTGAGAAATGACGACGTGTCATTCGATGTAGAAACCATCTCAACTGCAGACAGCGCTAGCGCGCGCAAGCCTGCCGTTGACAAGTCATAACGGCCGATCGATGGCTGCGGGGTGCTGCGTGCAGGGATCCATCAGCAGAAGATGCGGCTCGGTACTTTTGTAAGTCATGCTGGTCCGCTGCCCTTTCTGCTTCTCTTGCTTCTCTCTGACGTCGCCTCGGCACTCGACGAGAGAGAGATAGCCAGGCGCAACACGGACCAGCTGCTGCGGCTCTTCCCTCTCTACGGTGACGACGGCTACTACGATCACCTCGGCAATGACACCACCAGCACCAGCTCGCGAGAATACGGCGATGGTCTGCAGGGAGTCAGGCGGCGACGAAGGCGGCTGGCGCCACTCGACAGCCTGCAGCAGAGGACGCACCTGCTCTACTCCCACCCTCTGCCAGGCTCCGAGCTTGTCAGCGCCTACACAACCATCGCTTGGCGCGTGGACCAAGCACTCAGGCAAGACAGCATCTACAACAAGATGACTGTCGTGGGCGAAATCTCGGGCGGCCACCCTGACGGCGAGACCCTCTTGCTTAGCGACGGCAAGACGTTCATGTTTGTGCCGGCGGTGCCATTCCAGCCTGGCGAGAAGGTGACGCTCACGGTGGCTGCGGGCGTCTTGACGGCGGCTGGGCAGACCTTGCCTGAGGCGACGTGGAGCTTCCACATGTCGCATCGCCCTCTTGACACGTACTTTACCAAGGTGGTGCCGCTTGGGATGCCAGACGGCGACAGGGCAGCCACGCCGCCCGATGTCAGGGAGACGATTCGGGTAGCGCAGGAGGGGTCCCTGGTGAGGAGGGGCCCTCTAGGTACCCCTGACGACGTGACCCACCGAGCCCTCCAGGATGATGAGGGTGAGATTGAGATGGAGGACGAGACCGACGAGACCCCGCCTCCAGCCGCAGACACAGAGACGGCCGAAGAACAAGATGCCGAGGGCCAGAGCGGGTCGAGGGGGAGCAACAGCAGCAGCAGCACCACCACCAAGCATCAATACGTCTTCCCCGACCACAGGTACCGCACCCTCCCTGTGGACTTCCCCCGAGGCACCCTCACCGTCCACGGCGACATCGCCAAGCTGGCGTCGGGCTACATCTGGACGGCCCACCTGGTCAACGACAACTACCCCACGCTCGACGTGATAATCACCGACTTCGGCGACCCTGTCTACTACGGCGGCAAGCTGTCGTATTTTGCGCCGTCGGCGAATGGGAGCCAGTTCATCTCAAATCAGTACGGCGATGCGGCGGTGGTGGTCGGGGAGGACTATAAGGAGGTGGGCCAGTTCGGCGTGCAACATGGACTCAGTAAGCGACCGAGACAAAAAGACAGACAGACAGACACTCCATCGACGTGCGTGTCCGTTGGTTGATTGACTGACTGCAGCCCTTAACCAGCACGATCACATGATCCTGAAGAACGGCAATGTCATGCTCTTCATGTGAGTCTGCGACTCGATCGACAGATACCCGCCGTGCCCACGATTGGTGCTGTGTGTGATAATGTCGATCAGCTACGACGCTCACCAGATCGACGCTACAAAGCTGCGGCCAGAGCTGGAGGGGGCGACCCAAACCACTTGGGCGGTGGGGCTCGTGCTGCAAGAAATCAACCCTGAAGGTGCGTATGCGGAGGGACGTGACATACACCTGGATGGAGGGATGGACGGTCGGTTGTGTGTGGCAGGTCGGTGTGTGTTGGAGTGGCGGATGTGGGACCACATGCCCAACGCATGGCAGGACACAGACAACCCCGTGCGCTTCAACATTTGGGACATCGCACACGGCAACAGCGTCGACGAGATGCACAATGGCGACCTTCTCGTTTCCATGAGAGCCCTCAGCGAAGTACTCGCCATCGATCGGTAGGTAACCTCCACACCACACCGCACCACTGTGCACACACATGCACAACACACACAATTCACTCCTCTCTCCCTCACCTGGTCCTCTCAGCAACACGGGCGCTGTTCGGTGGCGGCTGGGCGGCAAGCGAAGCTCCTTCACCTTGGTGGGCGACACCAACCAGCACTTCACTGGCCAGCACGACGTGCGAGAGCTGGACGAGAACGTCATCACCGTGTTCGACAACGCCGTCCGCACAGGCAACACGCACGCACGTGCGATGGACTACTCATTGGAGTTCGACAGTGACGGCACCCCGAGGGTTGCGCGTGTCAAGAGCACGTGGGACAGCGGGGTGCGCGCTTACGCCAAGGGGAGCTACCGACGGCTGGGAAATCGGAACAGGGCAGTGTGTCTGGGGTTCGACGTGGCCGACGAGTTTGACCCCAACGACCAGACCGTTCAAAAGGAAAACATGGTCGGCAACCCCTTCTATGTCGAGGTGAGGACGGTACGCACATCGGGCGGATGCTTTCACACATCTCCACCCTCTGTGTGTGTGTGTGTGTGTGTGTAACTCATGGGCAGACTGACCCCTCCGGCGTGTGGCTGATCAGCATGAAGTGGCACGGCGCATCCCACGGCTACCGCAGCATCAAGGCGGGGTGGACGGGGCGGCCGTCATGGAAACCCGACGCCCTCCTCAACGCCGACAACCCGGCCAACACTCTCCGCTTCCACTTCAGCTGGAACGGGGCGACCGAGGTGGTCGAGTGGCGGGTGATGCGGGGCGTGAACCACGACGACATCAGCGAGTATGTGGAGACCATCCCCCGGACGCAGTTTGAGCACTGGGTGGACATCAGCGACGAGGACGGCCGGCTGCGGTGTGTGCACTACCAGGCTGTGGCGGTGGGCAAGGATGGCAAGGACATGGCCTACTCCAATGTGGTGCCCTCCTGGGGATGCAGCGGCCAGGCAGGCCAGCAGTGATTGATTGATCGGACCGGCTGACGTGACGATCCCAATGAATGAAGGAATTGATGAATGGGGGCAAGACAGGAAGGTGACTCTTTTTGCTTGCCCTGGCTGGGCTGGGCTGGCTCTTACTTATGTTTGCTCGCCTCGCGTGTGTGTCCATGTCATGTAGGAATCTATCTGCTTTTGCATTGCATTGCATTGCATTCATTGTGCTGTGCGTGGGGGTGTGGTGTCTGTCTGGTGTGTGCTGTGCGGGGTTGGGTTGGGTTGGGGGGCGTGTGTGTGGTGGTGTGTAAGGTATGTGTCTCTCTCGCCTCGCGTGTACTATTTATTTCGTATCTATCGTATTCAGCCAGGTCTATCGTGTATATCGATCGCTGCAGACACACAGACAGACAGGCTTTGTTTGGTCGTGCGTGTATTCCTTGGCTGTGAATGTGCCGTTCCTGCCCCCTAGAAAGGTGGATCGGATCACAGCGTGTTTGTCTGTCTCCCATTTCTATGTATGTTTATGTGTGTCTGTCTCCGTGTATGGGTCCGTCTTCCCGCAGGTATGAAGTAACTGTCTATACTTGTATGTGGGTTTTCTGTCTGTATTTGTTGTCGGTCGACAGGACAGCATAGATATAGCATCGGCTGGCCTGGAGAGCGGGAGGGAGGGAGGGAGGGAGGGAGAGGGGGCCGGCTAGGCTAAGCCATCCTTTCGTATCTGTCTGTCGCCCTATCTATTTGTCGTCAGTCAGTCATTGAAAGATAGATACTATACACATTGGAGGGTATCCAGGCAGGGGGAGGCAGGCAAGGTCTGTGAATGATCATACTAACGAAGGTGCGGCGTCTCTCTGGATTAACCAACCCGCAAATTTTAGGTGTCTGTCTGTCTGTCTGTCTGTGTGTACCGTACGTAGCGTGTGTGGGATTGGATGAGAGAGGGGTGGGGGCCTTGTCGGTCGGCGGTTTTGTGTTAGTACGTCACAACGACGCGATGGCAGCAGAGAGGCAGACCTTTCATTCATTTTAGCCGCACTAATGTGCGTTTCGGTCGTGTCTGCTGCATGCTGGCTGAAGTCAAGGCGCTGCTGTGGGTGTGCGGTGTTTTCGCGGCCAGCAGGCAGAGTGACTGACTGACTTACTGGGTGGCCCGGGTGGGTAACAATGACTGACATCTGTCTGTCTGCAGTGTTACTGTATGTATGTATGAGTGTCTGTCTGAGGTGGCGTGGCGTGGCGTGTGTGTGTGTGTGTGGCTTGCATGAATGCAATGAATGCCTGCCTATTTAACATCCTATCTCAGTGTACATGACGCGTGGGATGGATGGACCACTCGATTCATCGACATGTCGTTCAATCGGTGTGGTGTTTCTCTCTCATCTATCTCAAAACACACCAACTCAATCAACCACAGTAAGTAGAGCTCCTCTTTGTTCGTTGGTCTGCGCTGCGTTCACCTACACACAAAGAACGCCCCGCCCCCCATTGCAATGCATCCATCACAGAGAGACAGACACGATGGATAGATGGATGGATAAAGACAGCCAGCTGTTCACACGATCGACACAGTAGACTCACAGGCAGACACAGAAAGAAGCAGCACATAAATCAAAGACAAAAACCATCTCAGTCGGCCCCTAGGTGCTGCTATAGGACATTACATTCACTGTGTCTGCGTGTCACGCGTCGCAGACGCCGTATGCAATCAGGGAGGAGCGACCAGATGGCGGGATCGGATCCCCCTTGATGCCGCAGGAGTCTGCAAGGCATGGCTCACATGACCATGACATGCGCATAATGGCGATCAATCACCTCACTCCCCACAACATCAACACACAGGCTCATTCTTACCAACAAATACTCCCTCCACTCTACACCCCCCCATCCCCATCCCCCAACTCTGACTGACATGTCTCTCAATCAGTCAACATAAACAATCTCATCTCACCCGTCCAATCCAATCATCCACACACCCCTACCCCCTCCAAAAAGCTCACGTCGGCGCACGAACGGCAAAAAAGCGAAGGAGCCGCGCTCAGTGGGCCAACCAGACAGCTGCATGACCTCTCACGTTGCCCACACAATACATGCCAATCTCACCCACAACCACAAACAACACAAAACCACGCGCCCGTCTGTATGTTGGCCACCCCACCTAGGCGAAGATGTCATCGGCCTGTTGCTGTTCGTCGGACTCTGACTCTGACTCCAGCATGGCGGCCTTGAACGTCTCCAGCTGCTTCTGCAGCTTCTCCAGCTCCCTCTCCGCAGCAACCCGGTCCCTCCTCTCCTGCTGCCACGACACATACAGCTGCGAAGCCGACTGTCGCTGCTTCTGTGCCATCCGCCAGTCCTTCCGTCGCTGATGCATCTCGTCCAGCACAGAGACGGCCGAGTCGATGTCGGTGTCGAAGGCCGCCATCATGTCGTCCTCGGCCATGATTGGGGGCGGTGTGGGCGCCTTGGGGTCGAATCGCGGCCAGTCGTTGGTCGTAAGCCAGTAGTAGAGGAAGAAGAATCCGGGGATCTGTGCCGGCAGGGGAGAGAGAGTGCACGTATGGATTCTTTGCGTGTGCGTGCGTGTGTGTGTGCGCGCGCGAGTGCTGCTTACGGGCTTGAACTCAGGAACCATGTGTCCCGCACCCCTGACCGTCAGAAAGTCGAAGTTGTTGGCGTATCGGACCACGTAGCTGCACACACACACAGAGGACACATAAGGAAAAGATGAGCCTGCCCTGCCCCCGTTGCCCACCCACCCACTCCCTCCCACCGCACCCAGCGACTTGTCTCTTGCCGTCCAGTGTCCACGGTCGCCATGGCTCTATCTCCTCAAATCCCATGGCGCGTGTCCAGAACTCACCGCCATTGTACTGCATACACAGAACAGGCACACCCATTCCATTCAACCATACCATCCACAGGGGGGATGGCTTACCGGCACACTGGCGTCGGCGTCGCCATAGAAGATCAGAACGCGGTAGCCGTTGGCCACCAGCCGCTCGTAGATCGGCCGGACATCCTCACACGTCGGCACATAGCCCGTCCACCCGTCCCACTCGTGCCAGTGCCCCTTGACGTGCAGCGCAGCCTTCACCTCCTCCCTGTTGAGCCACGTGTGCATTCCCCGTGTCGAGCCGCACTCATAGTCGTCCAAAGAACCACGCAAAGGACTGCTTTGCGTGTGTGGGGGTCTCCGTTGCGGCATTGCGTGGCGAGCGAACGAGAGGGGATGGGGCTTGGGGATGCGCTGGGTGAGGTCTGCTGCTGCTGCCGCTGCGGATGTGAGCTGGTCGCCGGTGCCAAAACATTCGTCGTATATGTTGTAGACATAAAAGCCGCCTGACATGAGAGAGAGAAAGGAGACAGACAGACACACCGTCGTGTGGCCACACGTGCCCTGCTCGTGTGTAAGTGTGTGTGTGTGTTGTGTGCTGTGTCACACACACACTTACCGATTTCCGTCTCCATTTGATCGATCAGGCCCTGATTGAAGGAATGCAATGCACCCACCAGATACCTACCGGCCGGTGACTGATCTGCCCATCCTTCATGTGTGTGCCTGACTGACCTTGCATGTCGGGCTGTCGGAGTAGTTTCCGTGGAGAAGCTCGGGAAAGCATGTCGACTGAAGAGCAAGACGGGTGGGGGTGGAGAACTGGCCATGACCGTACAGGACCTCCGAATACTGCCGACCACACACACATACACAGACATACCACAACGTCATCACGTCTTGGGTTGTCTGCCTGTTTGTGTGTCAGGTATGCATTTACCTACCCAGTACATGTCATCGACGCCACACCCGCCCTGCGCGTGTGTCCCCATACACCCATCGCCAACCACCACTCCCCTCAAGCTGGGGATAGACCTACACGGACAACACCACACAACACAGATGGGCACGAACTTGTCACGGCGGTGGTGTGATGCCTACGTGCTCGTCTCACTCACCCAGGGTTGTCCAGTATCAGCTCAGCCAGCGTCGGCACATACACCCCCGCATACGATTCACCCGTTATGTGAAAATCATTGCCCGAAAACTCGGGATATGCCTGAAACAGAAAACAGAAAGGCATTTGACGGCGAGTGTTCGGCTGTGTGTCGAGTGGCGCCGCCGAGAAGGAATCTTTTCCGTACATCGAAAAAGTTGACGAGGAAGTCGAAGTTGTCTTGTGCGGTGATGGTGTCGTTCCAGAGGGGACACTTGTGTGGGTCCACACAGTGTGACCATCCCACTCCAGCAGGACTCTCGAAGAACAACATACTCGCAAACTGACAGACACATCAACACCAACCAACACACATGCGATGCCGTGCACGATGAATATGCGACTCCTTTGACCGCACCGCTCAAGTCACCTTCGTCCAGGTCCATGGGTTGGGGATGAGCTTGGGCACCCCCTGATACGGGATGCCCTCGAATGACAGATCATTCGTGAGGAATGGGCCCATCTCCGTCAGCAGTCCCAACATCCCGCTGGCACCGGGACCCCCCTTCAGACCATACACACCGCACACACACCACACAATAACATGTATGCGGGCGCGTCCATGGCGTGGTGTGCATTGCATTGCATGAGTGACAGACGTTTGCACCTCACCTGCATCCAGAGCAGCAGCGGGTCCCTCTCAGGGCTGTTCTCGGAAGTGATGAGCCAGTAGTGGTACATGCGTGTGCCATTGGCCACAGGGATGAAGCCAGAGTACATCCGTGATGGCAGCGGACCCTCCCAACCTGCAGATGTGATCCAACACCAACACAACTGAGATGCCGTGCGTGCCCAGACACAGAAGACAGTGGTTGCACCTGACCTGGCAGGCTCTTGATCATGTCTGCCTCCACAGCTGCCTTGACCCTGGCGATGCAGACCATGCTCACCAGGCAGAGCAGCCTCCACATCCATCCGGAAGCCATAGTGATCCTCCAGATCTTCGACTCAGAACATGCACAGCACGACGATAGATAGACCAACCCAGTCACGGCTGGTGGTTATTGTGTCTGGGAGAGGCTCGTGAGAGAGCGGTTTCACGGAATGTGGCGTTTGCGAGCTTAGCGTGCAGCCGATAAAAGAAGGTGAGCGATTTAAGGAGTGAGTGCAGGCAGACACGCAGAAATAGACCACCCCATGCTTTGTCCTACTTGCTCTGCAGGCCAGACTGAGGCCCTTTGCAGTGGTTCCGGACGTGCGCACCTCTCTCTGGGGTTTTGACACACAGATCACACATCTGGCCGTCCCCTCGCACTGCACACGTGCCTCAACATGGTTGATGACGAGGAGGCTCCTCAGGGAGTCACAGTGGCTGTGCGTGTGCGGCCCATGTGGGTCAATGGCCGTGAGAAGGGGTGCAAGAACGTGGTGCTCATGGATGGCAATGTGACGAAGATCATCAACCCGGAAGATGAAGACGAAGAGCCGCGGGAGTATGCCTTCGACAAGAGCTACTGGTCACACGACCGGTGAGTGAGAACATTAATTTGATGCATATATATGAGAAATGGCGTGTTTGCAGATACAAGGATCGTGGTGACGGTGTGTTCGTGCCTGACTCGGAGGACTCGCCGTATGCAGACCAGGACATGGTGTGGGACGAGCTGGGTTCCATCATTTTGGGGAAGGCTATGCAGGGCTTCAACTGCACTGGTGACACGGACCAAACTGACTCAGTCATGTGTTGTCTCCTCTGCCAGTCTTTGCTTACGGGCAGTCCGGTGCGGGGAAGAGCTACAGTGTTGTAGGATATCACCCCAACGTCGGCATTGTGCCAAGGTGACCTACAAGCAGAAAGGGTGCTGTTTGTCATTGACTCTGCACCTCATCAGGTGTCTGAAGGAGCTGTTCAGAATTGCCGACGAAAATCAAGACCCAAAGATAAAGTACCAGGTCGGTAGAGCCAGCAGCGCGCCTCTCAGCACAATGAACGGACCATTATTGGCCCGTTTGTCTGCAGATGGAAATCGCGATGGTCGAAATCTACATGGACGAGGTGTACGACCTCCTTGTCCCCCGCACCAAGACCCGCCATCCCCTGAAGGTGTTCATCTACAAGGGCGAAGTCATGATCTACGACCCCAAGGTCCGTATACTGCCCAGCTGCAGGCAGGCCACTCTGTGAGTCTCGCTCGTGTGTTTGTTCGTTGAAGGATCGCAAGAACAAGGATAAGATATGGAAGGCGTGCAAGGACTACCAGCAGGCTGAAGGTGAGACAGCCACCAGAGACGCTGACAGACACACATGTTCTGTCTCCCCTTTCTGGCAGCCTTTAGGCAGATGGGAGACAAGGCCCGCACGGTGCGGCCGACAGGCATGAACCCCTCATCTTCTCGCGCACACACAGTGTTCATTGTCCGCTTTACAAAGAGGCGGAAAGAAGGAGAGGTAAGCAGCGCACCCACATCCGCCTACAGGCATGTCTAATCTTGCACCCTTTCATCCATTCAGGCGTGGATTGACGAGTTTCGCTCGAAGATCAACTTGGTGGATTTGGCTGGCTCCGAGCGGCCGGCCGACACCGGTCTGACGGGGATAGGTCTGGAGGAGGGTGTGGCCATCAATAGCAGCCTCTCATCGCTGGGTCGTGTTATGAAGCAGCTTGTGGACGGCACACGGGTCAACTACCGGTCGTGCAGGCTGACAGAGGTTCTGGCGGAGTCGCTGAATGGCAAGGCCATCACCATCATGATCGCCGCACTCAGCCCGGCCGACATTAACTACAACGACACCGTGAGCACACTCCGGTTTGCTGACAATGCAAAGAAGATGCCCGTGGTAGCCAAGAAGCAGCTCAGCCCGACCGAGCAGCTGATCCAGAACCTCAAGGCCGAGAACGACAAACTCAAGGCGCTGCTGAAGAAGGCAGGTAGGTGTGAGAGACACACGCACCTCGCACACGGTGCCATCTCTTTCCGCGAATGCAGGCATCACGATGGAAAGCGATGAGGATACAGATGCAACACCTGAGGACCTCAAAAAAGCAACAAATGACGCAAAGGTCAGCTCATCTGCCCATCCACAACAGAATTCACGTTATCTCGGTTGTGTGGTCAGGCCGCAGCCGACAGCAAGGCCGCAGACAAGGACCGCGCGGCCAAGGAGGCCCAACAGGCCTCGCAGCTCGCCGAGGCAAAGGCCAAGGAGGCGCAGACCGCCAAGGCTATTGCCGCCCGGGCTCAATCCATTGCTGAGGACGATGTAAAGGAGAAGGCAGTGGCGGCAATGTCGCTGAGACGACAGGCAGCCGATGAATCGAATGCGGAAACGAAAGCTGAGCTCGAAAGGAAGGCCGCCGAGGCCGAAGAGAATCTCATGTGAGCACAGAATGGCATCGGGGGCAAGGCTATATCACCGAACAAGGGTGCCACAATCGTGTGTGCAGGCAGGCTGAGGCCAAGGCAGCTGCCGCTCCGGCAGAGGCTGATGAGCAAATGAAGAAGCTCGAGTAAGCTTCAACACTCGTGTCCGACAAGCTGCTCACAATATTGGTCGTTTTACTTCATGCACAGAGACGAAATGGCCGAGGCACAGAGAGTCGCCAAGGTCGACACAGATAAGATGCAGGCATAATGCTATCTCTCACTGGACCTGTCTACCTCCCAGTCCAAGCTTGCTGAGGCCAACCGCCGTGCAGCTGAGGCAGAGGAGGCGAGAATCGAGGCCGAGGAGGCTGCCGAAGTCGCCAGCATGCAGCTCAATGAGCTCATGGAACGGAAACGGGCCGTTGAAATTATGCTAGCAGACCAACAACAGGTGCGACCATGAGAGGCACTGACTTGTTGAGACACAGACGCCTCATATGTGTGTGTGGTTCGATAGGACTTTGCTGAGAAGCTGGCTGAGAGTGAGGCCAAGGCCAAGGAGATGATGGCCGCCATGCATGACATGGGGCTGAGTGTCAAGGAAATCATGGCTGCTTTTGGCGAACACGCGGACATTGATGAGAACGATCCGTATCTCTTCAACTTGGCGGAAGACCCGCTCGATGCTGGTAAATAGAGACAGCACACTCATACACAAGGTGAGGTAAAAATGGTTGTCTGCAGGAGCTCTGTTGTACGCGTTACCAGACGGTCAGACCAAGGTGAAACGGCTGGTGGCCGGAGACACCGAGAAAGCCATCAAGCTGGAGGGCCATAGGTGAACGAGAAGATCGGGACGGACGCCACCACCTCATCGGGTCTCTGTCTCAGTGTGCAACCCCACCACGCGACCTTTGAGAACACGAAAAAGGGTTGCTCCATAACACCTGAGGTGCTCGGCAATAGACGTCCTTCAGTGAGTGTGTCCACCGAAGGAGTCATCTGTGTCCACCGTGGCAGGGCAAGGCGGTTACCTTCGTCAACGGCGAGCCGCTCACTGCCAAACGAAGACTAGAGCACGGAGACAGACTGATCTTGGGCAATGAATTCGCCTTCCGGTTAGTGGTGCCGTCGAAGAAGCAGGTACGCCAGCTGTGAGCCGTGAACGTTCACACAGCTGACACCACCCGACGCGGGATATCTGTAGGAGCGGGAAAAAAAGAAAGTGGCGGAAGGCGAAATATACGACTGGGACGCGTGCTTCGAGGAACTCGCTAAGGCAAACGGTATGAAATCACGTTGTCGGAGGTGAATGAAGGGGTTTGTTGTGCAGATGTTGATATTGAAAGAGACATAGCGGAGCTGAGGTCAAAGCTGGACTGCGAATATAAAGAGAAGCAGCAACAACTGGAGAAGGAAAAGGTACGACGTAGCAGAAGGTGGCTCAATGTCGGTGTGCGTCTCCCTCTTTCAGGCTGCCCTCGAGGCCCAGCTGGCGCGGGAGCGAGCTAAGTTCCAGGCAGAGATGGAACAGCTGAAGCGACAACGTGCCGAGGGGCAGGCAAGTGATGAGATCGACGACAACGAAGAGACGCAGAGGATGTCTTTCGATGCACTCGCCAGGCAACTCATGGAACAAGTACTACTAGCACCACAGACCACACTTTCGTCCACACATGAAGGTGTGTCCATGTCTCACAGAAAGAGGAAGTGGAAAAGACCCTCAAGGACCAGGCCAACTTGGCCAGCATCACCAGGGCACACACCGCCATCGACACGGATCTCAGAGTGGTCCGGTCGCAGATGAGGGAGCTCCAGCCACGGCTGGTCGAGGCCAACAGGATTTCCAAGGCGCTCTCGATCGGAGTCAAGTATTCCTTCAAGCTGCTCGACGTCAAAGTGCCTAGCACCAAGAGGGGCAAGAAGCAGGGTGGGGCTGAGGGTGAGGGTGAGCGTCGCGTGGTGCTGCAAATCATGGCAGAGAAGACCGGGGAGAGGAAGCTGTGGACGCAGGACAAGTTCAACAGGCGGCTGGTGCGGATGGTGAGGATCGCTGACATGGATGAGCCGCCTGCGGTGAGAAAGGCTGGGGGATTGGATGGATGCAAGCACATGGTACGTGTGCGTGTGTTGTGTGGCGACCAGGAGTCGGATGAGGACAGTGACCCTTTCTGGGTGAGCAACTGATCTAATGAGGGAGACATGGAATGTAGGGCTGATGGTATCTCTTTCCATTAGGACCACACTGATCACATCCTGGTGGGCTCTTGCGCTGTGGGACTCCGGCCGCTGCTCACACTCACCCCCATCGATGAAGAGGTACGTCAATGAAGAGGTACAAACACAGACGCACCCTTTCCTCCCTCTCCCCTGTGTGTCTGTGTCCAGGTGAAGATCCACTCCGTGGACGGACACGTGACGGGCATCATCCACGTCAGCATCACTGCCGTCGACAGCGGCGGCAAAACGATCACCAAGCCACTGACTGACCCACAAGTACACACAGAAAGATAAATCAATGCAGACACTGCACTGCCCGTGATCCATCCCATACATGGCCTGGCCATCTGTCTATCTAGCACCTGCTGGGCCAGTCGGTGGCCTTTCGGGTACACATCGAGACGCTCTCTGGGCTGCCCCTCAACGTCACGCACCTTTTCTGCCGATACAGCTGGTTCCAGTCTGAGGGCCTCTCCCACAGCTCCTACTTCACGGGCCGCACTGTGGACCACTCGGCCGTTTTCGACGTGCCAAAGGTGGAACAGCCGCTGCTGGGTTTCTTCACCGAGAAACCCATGCTCATTCAGGCAAGCGAAGAGAATGACAATGGCGTGGACCCACACTGTGTCCCGCTCTGCAGGTGAGGACGTTTGAGGCCGATGCGATGCGCAGTGCGATTGATGCCATGGCGGCCGTCGGCGGGCCGTCTCCATCCGTCGCAGCAGCGGCAGCTGCTGCTGGGGCTGACTCGCCCATTGTGCGTGAGCTACAGCAAGAGATAGAGCAGCTGAAACGAGAGAAGGCCGACCTCCAGAAGAGGCTCCAGCGGACAGGGGCGGGAAACACTGCGCAGAAGTCTGAGTGCTGCTGCGTCATGTAGCTCACGCACTCACTTGCCCTAAGGATGCCATTCATTGTAGAGGTGTCTCTGTGGTGTGTGTAGCGATCTGCAGTGCGCGGCCTGCCCCATTCCATTTCGCCCATGATTTATCGACAGCGCAGTGGCCCCCGCTCCCCCTTATGCACGCACACTTGGTGCGTGGGCTGATCTGATCCCTCGATTCATGAAGTCTCCCAGCCATGGCCATGCAACGCCATGCACCCACACACAAACACGTCAGTCAGTCATTGTCTGTGGTCCTGGTTTATGCGTTCACACACACATGCACACATGCATACACACGTGTACGCAACGCAAAACCACCCTCCCGCCCCGCCGACATACATATACCGTACGTACTGACTGCATCGATCGGGGGCTGGGGGGAGAGTGGAAAGAAAAAGTATCCAGGCACCACACCACACAGCATGCATGCCATGCATTGCAGCGGGCTCTATATCAGAGCTGACATAAATAAATAAGACACCAACAGCAGCCAGCAGACACATGGTCAATTACATTACAACGCATAGGCATACACATACACACAGATGCACACACATGTACCGCTTGGCAGCCCGCACGGAAAAACGCGGCCTCGCGCTATATGGATCACACACATAGACTGACTGACAAGAGTGCTCCCTTATCCCCCCTGAACATACCTGCACCCACTCGCTCTCCAGCTGCGCCCACTGTCATGCATTCACGCTTTGATTTCCACCATGGTGGCCGGGTCGTCGAATTTGCGGCGGTATGTGCGGCGGTGGAAGCGCCACGCCTCGTACGCCAGCAGGTAGGCTATCGACAAAGCACCGCTCACCAGCAGGGCATCCATGGCGACTGAATCCCATATCCATGTGGCACCACAGAGAGACACGTGAGATGATGTGGATCGGATGGGTGTGTGTGGTGGGGTGTGGTGGGTGTATGCGATGCGACTGACTGACCTTTCCAGTCCTGTTGACCCCTCTTCAACTTGTCGTATGCCTGTTTGGCCAGCGCATGCACACAGCACAGGACAGGACAGGACGGGCAACTCAACTCAACTCACACACGTGATGCTAGTCAATTGTGATGTGTCCTCATTCATCAAATCAATGCCTACGCAGTATGCCAGCCCGGCCACTAGCGCATGAAAGCACAAGACGAGACACAGATGTCCTACAGACCTGCACACACACAGACACCCACACCATGAGATACATACACACACCTCTGTTCCCATCTGTGAGTGTCCTATGATAGATACTTTGATCTAACAGAGATCCAGCAGCAGACGGCCGCCCCAATGGTGACGCCCAGTGCAACGAAGAGGCTCATCCAGGGCCGCCATGGGCTGCGGTACACGTGTTCACTCTCATACGCCTTTATGCCGCGACTGAATCAACACAACACAACACAGCACCCATGAGTGCTCTCCGTCCTGTGTGCGCCCTCCCCTGCCCACCCATTCACCTCTCTGAGGGAGTCCAGGAGACGTACGCGACGCTCCTACTTTTCCTCTGCCTCTTCCTGCGTCGCCTCCTGGGCTGATCGGCAGCATCTGCCCCACCCACCATCTCGTCCTCTGCCTGTGGTGCAGGGGATGTCCACTCGGCATCATTGGCTAAAGCATACGGCGCTGCGTAAGGGAGAGTCGCATTAGCGGCTTCACTGCCCTCTGTCAGCAGCTCCTTGCTGGTCGAGGACGGTGTCGTGTTGTTGGCTGCGCGTTGGTGCAGCGACCTTCGCAGCCGGCGGATCGAGTCAACGCTCTCAATCACCCTGACAATTCATAAAAGCAAGGGGACAACATAACATCCATGCCATGACCCATGCCATGCGCTCCCATCCAAATGCATCTGATCTGCGTGTGTGTCTGGTTGTGGATGTGATGTGGCGTGATGTGATGTATGCTCTGTCTGCTGACTTGATGGATGGGAACATTGCGGTGCCCGCAAACCAGTAGCCAGTGTACCCGGGATACGCCTCGAGGGCCGCCCCCTCATCCCGGCCGCTCACAGCCACGCCGTTGACGTCATACACGGTGTCAGATTGCGTGTCCTTGATGAGCAGAAAGCCCTTGTCGTCCACATCAGCGTCGTTGAGCTCGAAGAGCTTGCCGCCGCTGAGGAGGGCGCGTGTGAGTCTGAACTCCTCCTGGTGAATGACCACAATATCGACGTCTGCCAGCTTGGCGTTGACCACACCCTCCTCGGCTAACACATCAAGAGGGAACAGAAACCTATGCGGATCCACAGACAGACAGAGAGACAGACAGACAGAGGCCACCAGAATCGCCGCCTCTTTCTTCTCTTCTGTGCATCCACCATCCACCCCCTCCCCGCTCACCACACGTCCCCAACACGCAGGTGCAGTGCCCTGCTCTTGGCTGGATGAAGGTCATAGGGGCTCCCTGATGATGGGTCGTAAGTCGTTGGGAACATTATCACACTGTTGGTGTCGTAACTGCCATAGGGATTCCGTGTGTAATCGCGCGAGACCCCCGTATCGAAGGAGAGCACTTGTGTGTGCGGGTGCAGCAAGCGCCAGACTCGCCAGCGGACCTCCGTTATTGGCAGCATCGTGAGCTTCGTGCCTTGCTTGGGCCCCTCCACTGCACAGGCCATCATCTGCACCCAGCTGCTCTCAGCTGACGACCGGTCGTACATTATCTGCAATGTACATATCAGATCAGATCGGACACTGGGCTGGGCGGCTGGGATTTCGTCCCCCTTCACCACCCCTTCTCAGTCGCTGACCGACCAGGTTGTTCTGGAAGAGCCGGCCGGAAACGCCCATCTCGTTCCCGTCGACTGCCTCCAGAGCAAAGGCGACACCCGTGGCTACCAGCGGGCAATACGTCACTGCAAATCGCGTCCCATTAGACGACCTGTCATTGACAATCTCGTGCCAGTTGAGGATGCGCAGCGGGTAGGCCTTTGGCTCGCCATCGACGGTCATGCCAAGCACCCAGTCGTCGTCACTCACGGCCGCCTCGCCAGCAGGAGAGAATTCTGGGCTGTCAATTGACGGAATCCCGTCTTTTCGTGGGCCTGTCAAGCATTGCGAGCACACAGGCAAGATGAGATGCCAACAGAGCCTGCAGTGATCTTGTGTGTACAGTGCTTGTGTGCTTCATCCTATTGCCTCATTGCTGACCTCCCCTGACGATGCCCTGCAGGTCGATTTGGCAGCCGCCAGATGAGATCTGCGCCTCAAGCGGGCTGCAGAGAAGCAGCAGAGGAAGCGCCAAGGCTACAGGGAAAGATCTCGTCATTTTGTCGTGGTCGCCTCTCCTCCTGCTTGTTTGAGCTCGCCCGGAAGGAAAAAGGAGGCAAATGGGGAATCAGGTGATCGTCAGCAGCAGCCAGGCTGTCTCGCCAGCAATTGGCAACGAGCAAATCGATTTCATCCACAGCCTGGGCCGGGATGCGCTTCACACCCTCGAGGACACCGGCAGCATCAGATCCTCGGCCCTTTTCCTCGCACAGATAGACTTCTCACCCGCCGTCCTCCGGAGTCGCCTGGGGCGCTCACTCGCAGCAAAGGGGCTGGAGGGTGTGATCCAATTCGACCAACAGCTGGACGCGAAGCTGCTGCTGAAGGCCATCTGGCTGGTGGACACGCAGCGGTGGACGGAAGTGGCCAATGCGCTGAAGTTGGCGGCGCAGGGGGGCTTCTGCCAGCTGCCCATCACACTCGCTGTGGCGGACCTGGAGCGTCACAATAGCAAACAGGTGGGCAGATGAGCGAGGGGCGGGGGGG